ATAATAATAATAATAATAACAATAATAATGGTAATATTATTACTATTATTACTATTATTATTCCTTACTTACAACCCGTTACGCAATCTGGCGTTTAGGGCAGCAACAAAGGATCTCCAGCTGTGTCTGTTTTGGGCCATCTTGGTCAACGTCCCCCACGAATGGTTCCCGGACTTCATTTCAGACTCTACTGTGCGTCTCCAAGTCACTTTGGGTGTGCCCCTCTTGCGATGTCCTTCGGGTGCCCAGTGGTGCTTGGGGTGTGTGTACTGTGTGTGTGTGTGTGTTTCTTTGCAGTCCTCAGTGCACAAAGCAGCGCTGGGGACTGCACAGTCCCCCAGTGGGTGGCGACAGGGGACTGTACAGCCCCCTTACAACTTCCTTTGTGAATTTGATGCCAGAACTCATCTATAGGTATACAACTAAAACTTCTTGCCGATTGCGTCGAAGCACTCTCAGTTAATGTGTGTAGAAAAATGTTCCAAGAAACCGCGGAACTCACATCCTAAAGGTACAGGGGTCGCGGTGAAGACTAACTGTCCCCGTTGGATTTATGCGGCCGCGTTATTTCACATAATTCTGTAACATAATTTGCCTAATTTTGGATTCCCCGCGTTTTTTCACGATTTTTTGCACTTTTCACAGAACAATTGAACTAAACACCTCGCCTTGTGTGATTATAGGAGGCATGGATTTATTCCTGATTTTTTAAATGGTCATTATACCCGTTTTTTCCGTGCTGGCCCATGTTATATCGATGTTTATTTTTTAATTAATTTTTTTTTGGGGGGGGGGGAGGTGGTGATAGAAACAAATCCCAGCTTATGATTACAGATAATAATATGTTTATGCATATTTTTATGTGTGTCAGTTTTGCGGTAAATTTCATAGTTTCTGTGGAAAACGATGTTCCCCCGTAACATGGCCAACAATCAAAGATGGCTACCACAGAGACCAACGTTATCCTCACTAAACTCAATAAATTTCGTCATAATTCTTCTTATTTAATTTTGTTGATAATTAGCCTATAGCGCCTTTAAAGATTGAAAGAATGAAAGAAAGTCAAATCTCTACAAAATTACTCGTATCATGTACATCTTGCTTATAATAATATGATCCTTCTGTCGCTTGTCTTGGGGCAACATCGTCAACACAGTCAATGCAGGCATTAAGAAGATAAAGACAACCGCATTAACACACACTGAAGCAAAGATCTGTCTGGTTACTTCACCAGAGAGGAAATGTTACCCCCTTTTTATCCCCGAGTCTGCATCTCGACTTTTTTGCCTCTGTTCCAGCTGATAATAAATATAGCACGTCCATTAATTACCAAATTTTGGAAGACTTGAATCTAATAACAGGCCTTACTTTTTTCGTACTAATAAACAGATTGTATCCTGTGTTGGTTACGTTGAGCGGGTGCTCTGGTGAGGTTTGCTTCTTTTTCCGATCAAACATCTACCACGCGTGTGGCGTCGGTGGCCTAGTGGTTAGGCTACCGGACTCCTAATCGTGAGGTTGCTGTTCGGGGGTTCGAGCTGTAGGCCCGACGTTGTGTCCTTGGGAAAGGCACTTTACACGAATTTTCCTCACTTCACTCAGGTGGGAATGGGTACCCGGCCATAGACAGCGAAAGATCTTGTTATTATGTTAGTGTTTTGGCGCCTATAAATGGCTGCTTGCACTGTATGCTTCCCAGGAAGTTGAGGTTGTTTCAGAATGATCTCAGGTCTGCTGGGGTAATAGTATAGAATGTGAAGCGCCTAGAGCTTGATGTTGAGCGGGCATTTGCGCTATACAAATGCTATCTATATTATCCTGATCTCTCCTTCTATCCTTTCTTGTTTTTGTTAGTCGCTTATAACACATCTAATCTTCGGCATTTATAGTATGACCTAATTTGTCTGTAAGTGCAGTAAAACGCATACTAAAACTAGATTTTAAAAAGTTAGGTTGCTGTGTTCATTGCTAGGCATTCCAAAGGTACCGGGTTTCAAACCTATTCAGTGCACACATCATCAATTTTCTCTTCTTTAACCTCCTCTTCTTCGTATTATCCCCCCTCCCCCCAACTCACACACACCTCTTCACCCTCTCAGGAGTCTTTTTATTGCGTATCTTTTTATGCTTCTTTTTATTTTCCCCATTAGTAATGTTTTCTATTGATTAACTCCCCAATCAGCTAATTTACAGATTGCTGTTATTTAGATAATTAATTACTGAGTCGGGGAGGGATTTTGTATGTCAAATCTACCCACAAATAGACAGAAACGCAGAAAGATATCAATCTCCGACGGAGTCCGCACTATTCCGTCATAAGAGAGGATGATGCCTGTGTTGTATTGGCCTGCCTGCTATGTGTTTTGATGGTTGCCAATGTGCCTTATTCTGCACGTGCATGCTCAACAAACGACAATGTCACTGAGTGCATGGAAGGGATCGGGTGCGCTGTTTGCTCAGTTGAGTTTGGTGTGTGTGACCCTTGTTCAAATCTCCAATAAGGCTTTCTTGAACTGGGACTGTTTAGAGGCTCCCCTCCCACAGACACTTGAGTTAGCCCTTCACAAATGGTCTTTAAATTCTGAGGTCTCTAATTTAAAATAACCTTACCATGTTGACAGGGGCGTTAAACCTATACAACTTCTTCAG